CTGGTCACTGTAGTCCTCCGGGAATTGCCTCTGCACCTCAGGATCTGTAAATAATTGACAGATAATATTAATTGGCTTTGGATTAGTGAGCAAGCAGAGGATCACACATTAATATTTGATCAGAAGATGATAGCAGCCCTGGCAGGGGATCCAAGGGGGGCAGCTGAGGCTGCTATGTTGATGAGCACAAGGAAGGACTCGGCAAGGCACTCCCATTACCCTCCTCCAGAAATATAAAAAAGAAAAATTTTAAAGACCTGATGCTACTGTTAACTTTAGACTATTACCTAATGCAAAAATCTTGCCAGCTGCAAATTGCCCTCAATATATTTTTCCAGAGAAAACGAGTCTTAAACCTGCTTGACTTTTCTTCTCTAATCAGAAGCCTCCTTTGCATAGTTACAGATGTGGGCTTGATAAACCACCTTAAGCACTGGTTCAGACTGGGGAGAAAGGGGGAGCGAGAGAATTTTTTCAAGGAATAAATGCAAAACTCATTGCTTTAATAAATGAAATCTATCCTTCTCAAAATGCTTATACACTCTTATGAAAAGGCAGATAAAACTAGATGGAAGTTTTCTTCAAAAGAGAACCAATGCTTTTGGCTTGTCAGTATAAACAAAATATCATGAAAAAATTATGTTCCAGCTGACATAATCAAACTTGCTCAGAAACTATACAAATACACAGGGGAAAATACCTTTTATGACCACCTATTTAAAATGGAGTTACTAAAGAGATCACTTTATTCTTAAATCATAAGCAAGATGATTCAATGCCATCTTCTGTAAGTCAATACAGAAGTGAAAAAATTAAGAGCTATTAGCATTCCATTTACTATCGATTAGGAAAACATTCAATCATTTCTAATAAGGAAAAGATCTGATTCCTTGGAGACATGTTAAGGAAAGTGATCAGAGGTCAGAATAATATCTATTTGAGAAATCATATATCAATTCAGAGGCTTATGGAAAATCACAGATTTGAGGCTCTCCCGTCTAACAGTGATCACGATATATGCTACCCATGGCTACCTTTAAATACAACACTAAAACACTAATTTACATCCTTATGAAAGTGAATCCATGTAAAAGTTCACTGCAGTCCATTTCTGCAGTGAATAATCAAGAAGGGAAAAAACTAAGGGCCTATTCACAAACTACTAGGATCCTAGAAATACCAGTTTTCAAGTCATTACAGCCAATGTGTATTATTTTTTAAAACCCAAGACTAACAACAAAAGCAGGAATATTCAAAAGGTTACACCAAAACCTTTTGAATATTCCTGCTTTTGTTGTTGAGTGGTACCAAAAAGTTGAAACTATCTGCAAGTGATTTCAAATCTTTACGTGTCTTTTGGTTGGCTTAAAAGCTGGGAATCAATTTCTTTCTTCACCCTCATCTTCAACTACTGGGAAGGAATCGATGTGTCTAGACCAACTAGAGAACTCTGGAGTAATGCCCCTGCAGTACCAATTCAGGGCTTCCCTGGTAGGCAGCAGCTTCTTCACTTGACCCGTCTTTGGCCCCAAGGACTGAAACTGCTCAAGGACTCAGCCCTTGTGAGAGAGGAGGCCAGCGGGCACCAAGAGTGTGGCAGGAAAAGGACTAGGCCAGCAGTGAAGAATTCACCAGCAGGAGACAAAGGGGCAGCCTGCTGCCCAACAATCCTCTACCAGTGTGCAGCGAGGGGAAAAGGAGGTGAACAAAGGGAACAAGGGGCCTAAAAAAGAAGGCAGTGGCTATAGTTTCTAAAACATACATAAATAACCTAAAATTTGGTCCAGAGACCCAAAAAATGCAGCTCTAAGCCACTGAGGGACATAATAAAACAGAGGTTGGGAAAGCCATTAAATCATCTAAGGCTTATTCTTTTTCTTCCAATTGATATGTGGTTTAACACTTATTCTTTAACTACCAAACTTCATACAAAAATTACTCTCATGCCAGTCGTTACTATCATGCCCTCTTTCTTGCAGTAATTTGTGCTTCTTGGGAACTACAAAATACCCATGAAAACAAAACCAAAGATTACTTTTCTATCACCTTTTTGTGAAAGACTGTATGTCCGAAACCAAAATTTGTAGTATATTCTTCAATTTTTAAAAATACCATACTTATTCACAGGTGGCAGATGGTTCTTAAATCTTTTCAGTCAACTATATTAATAAGAAATCATAACAAAAAAATTCATATAAAAATATTTTTATTAACATATACAACATAGAATTGAAAAAAGCATGGGAAAATCAATGAAAAGAAAAAAAAATCAACCTATCTTAACACATTGAAGATAAAGATGACCACGGAATGCCAAAAAGGAGGCCATTCAAACTGTATTATTCCAAATACTGCCTCAATGGAAAGCAACATAAACACCATCAATTAAATTCCTTCAATTGCCCTAAGACTCTCTAAAATGAAATTACCAGGTTTTAACAGAATAACGTTCCAAGATAATACATGCATTATTAGTTACTATGATTCAAGCATACAACTTTTGGTTTCTTTTCATTAAGGCCTCTAACATTTACAAAAAAAACAAACTTCATAGGTCTTTAACATTCACCAAAGCAATATAATACATTTTTTGAAAGAAAGGAAGAAAAACAATGCTTTTTAAAACCAAGTCAACCTATAAAGTTCCATTCAATCAGCTAGAAGATTCAGTCCGATAGTTCATAAAACTACGAAAGCCATTTTGGAAAGATTAACACAAAAACTGCAAATAATTTATTTGAATTTTCTTAAAATGTCTATTTAACACAGGAGGCTGAAATCTTTTTTCACATTGAGTCAATCGCAATGCCATAATGTCACCAAAATATCGACATTGGAAACATCTGAGTTAAAAAGGTCCAAATACAATCTGCTTTTCTCAAGCAACACAACACCCGCCCTACTAACAGTTTCAGCATGGCACATGTACAAAACCTAGCACCCTGCAGTTAAGCAAACCGCCTTTAAATTTTCTGTCTGGCAGCAATCCACTTGCGTGTCTGTATGTTTTTACAAGTACTCTATGTATTTCATTGCGTCAGCTGCATTTCTTTGAGTTTTAAATGGTCTGGGAACATTTTATGAAATGTTCTATATCTTTATATGGAAAATAACATACACTGGAAAACTGCATCGGTCTAATATTTATATATCTATTTCTTTATCCACCATTCAATGCTATAATTGCTTATGTTCCAAAACACCTTCTCACATTCATAAGCTCACCATCAAATGTAGTGTCACCAAACAGCTAACTTTCAACACAAAAATCTGCAGGGAAGAGTACTACCACAGAAGAAAGTAACATAATTTGCTTAGGCAATTGGCAGTAAGAATAGAGTAATCAGCGTATGTCAAGCTTCTTCCCCAAGAATTGTCCCGCTGACAGAAAATTAAGAATCTAGTGGTACATAGCACACCCTTCTTTCCTTATCCTTTTCTCTCAACAACTTTCTTCTACTTTAGGCAATAGATAACTTACAAACTTAAAAAAATCAATGTCATCAACTCCCAGGAAAATACTTTTCAACACGAAAAAAATATTGTATTTAAAAATCTTGCTAATAATACGTACACTCTAATAAAGTCCATGCATCTCTTAACCAAAGAGGCAGGTGGCTCTCAGACAAGGTTTCATATCATGTCATTGTGATGTCACAGCACCATGGCCATCAAAGAGGCTGTCCCCCACAGAAACGTGTGCATCACTTTCACTGAAGCATTTCCATATTTAAACACACACATTTCACAGTATAGGACTCCCAAAAGCACAATCTCACTCAGGCACAGAACATGACCATGCTTAAAAAGCTATGTCTTCACAGCAAGAAAAAACTGATCTCCTAAACAAACATGTCTAACATTTTTTCTTTTAAGAAAGGCTAATCTGCTTCCACCTCAACAGTCTATGTTTTCCAGTCTTCTCCTATACATACTTTTAAATCTTTAAGATATACCAGATTGCCACAGAATGTTTAATTAATAGAATAAGAGTGTGGGCAAGACTTACTGGAAAGGTGCTATAAATTATTTTACACAGGCTCCAAAAACCCTGAGTTCTGCCTTAGGCTTAAAGTTCCTAGAAAACGTGGTAGACAGATCTTTTACAACAGAAATGCAAAATAATTCATAAAAGTGCTGTGGTTATGTATGAGGGCTCATTTGTACATTGGTAACTTGTATGTGTACACACACACACACCTTACCAAATTATTTTCCTGTTTCCCTTTGTCATACCAATGACTTCATTTAAAGAGTCATGACATATTTTTAAACTGATTAAAAAATACACCGACTTCATTTTGGTCAAAACACATAACAACTGCATACTAACCAAAAGCCATTATCTCCTATAATAGGACCTCTTCTAGGAAATTTAAGAGAAGCTGCAAATGTAGCAGTTAACATGGGAATCTACACTGCTTTCACTTTTAACATGTTAGGATTTCAAGGCAGAAAACATTACATTTAATGCCCGCTGAATTTACCCAATCATTATCTCTAGGATATTTCAGTCAATAAGAGACAAAATACTGAACATATTTAAAGCTTACAATTACAAAATCTGCCCTTTAAAGAAGTAGGACTTTAACATCAGCTATAAACCATATAATCTCATTGTTCAATTTCATGGAGTTTAAGATACTATCTTCCTCTCCCCACAACCATAAATGTTAATCCAAGCTGTAATCAGATTTAATTTTCCAGATGAGCAGATGGGAATATGCTGCAAACAGGATAACAGTCCACTACACTGCTCTTTCACTAATGACATTTCCAAATTTTATACACTAAAAATGTAGACTTTCAGAAAATAGTCTAAGAAGTTGTATAGTTTGAGAACAAGCTCAAATTCTCCCCTAAATACACTCAGAAATAAGCTTTCTTTTAATCCTCAAAAAGAAAATTTGTTTGTATTACACAAAATTAAAGTTTCTTGATAAGATGACCGCAAACTGGACTGCATTAAATATAGCATTTCAAGGACACTAGTAAACTTACTAAAGCTACAAAAACTCAGCTTCATTTATTTTACATTGTAAAA